GTCCGCACCCCGCCTCAGGCCCTGGGAGGTCGGGGACTGTGGTGTCAGGAAGGGCGGCCACCAAATGTTGGGGATGAGGGTGAGGATGGACTCGGGATGTGGCACTGCATGGCCTTGGATGCTGAGGCGGAAAAGCAGAACCTGGTGGACTCTCTGCCTGCCACTGAACCGGGTGGACTCTCCCCCGGCGACTCCACCTGGTGGACTTTCCTTCTCTCAGTGAACCTGCTGGATTCTCCCTGGACTGAACCTAGTGGATTTGCTGCCTGTAATTGAACTCGGAGGACTCTCCTCTAACTGAACCTGGTGGATTCTCCATTTGCAATTGAGCCTGGTGGACTCCCAGCCTCTAATCCAACCTGGTAGACGTTCAGCATCTAATTGAACCTGGTGATTCCCCCTGTAACTGAACCTGGTAGATTCTCCATCTGTAGTTGAACCTGGTGGACTTTCAGCCTCTAACTGAACCAGGGGATTCTCCGCCTGTAATTGAACCTGTTGGCCTGGAGCTGGGGAGGCATTAACCGGCCAGACCCCTGAAAACAGGGCCTCAGAGTCAATGCAGGCGGCTGCAGACATGGGTCAGACAGTCAGATCCTGATCTGGGGAGAGGCCAACCCATAAATACACTGCCACTAAAGAGGGCTGAGCAGAGGAGATCTGCAGGACCCCTTGAGAGAAGAGGATTCAGATCCTCTCAGTAAAGCCACACCAGGATCTCTGGCTGGACAAGAAAGCAGAAAACTCCCCGCTTTCCAACCTGCATTCCTGCAGCTTCACTTCCAAGTTCCCGGATCTGTGGACGGACCTCTGGTTTGACCTTGCACTCCCATCTGCAGACCCTTCTCTGCTGTAGACCCACAGCCAGCTTCTTACAGGAGCCAACCGCCTTTGCCTGTTTCCAGCCAGCAAACCTTCTTCCCTGTTATAAGCTACTGGCAGAAACTCTAATCTGTAAAACTAAGACATACTTTACCTCTTCCTCTGCTCCTGTGGAAGATTTAGGACAAACCCATGAAAGCTTTAAGATTTGCAAATTGCCTCGTGCTGTTACCAATCTACGACTTTACACAGGATGGGAAGGGGAAAGCATTCATTGCTCTGCATCAGCAGCATTTCATGCCTTAGCCCTCTGCACTCAAGTCTATTTACTCTGAAGTCCCAGTACTGAACTCGGGGTGATTTACACCTTCCCACACATGCATCTTATGTCCACGTTTATGTCCCTTCCGCATAAACATAGGGTAGACAGACTCAATTTTCTGATCTTGGCTGGTCTGGAGAAACTAAAGAGGATCAGATCTGCTTAACACTTGGATGGAAGCACACCAAGAAATTCTACAGGCTGTAGGGGAAGGAAGGAAGGAAGGAAGGAAGGAAGGAAGGAAGGAAGGAAGCCATTTCCATTATTGTTGTAAAAAAAGCTGCATGGGCAGGATTATTCAGGATGGAGCAAACTAGTTTCAAATTTTAGGCCCCTCTATCAGTCATTTTGTAAATTATTTATTAATAATTGACATATTCACTCTCCTGTGCATCTTCCTTCAGACATTAGTCCCTTTATGTTTAAGGAAACATATTCTCAGGTAATAGATTGACATATATCTATTATTCAATAAACCTCGGTTAAAGTAAACATGGATTAAACCAAAACACTTGTACATGTGTCTTCATACATAAGTTCTTCGTAAATAAGTTCCAGTGGCTGCGTTCACGTGACACACTCAACCACATACTGTACTAACTGATCACATTTTACCCAACTTCTTATGCCATGCCAGACAGTTAAGGCAGCTTATGGCTGGTAAGTTGTGGGTGCCCAAAAATTAGGTAATCAAACATCTGCAAGCACTAATGAAGTAAACATCAGGTAATGAAACATCTGCAAGCAAACCACCAAACTCAGAAACCACTAAGGATTCGCAGTTCAACCCTGAACTACAGATACTGTATTCTCTTCTATTGCAGCACTAAGGACTCCCATAAAATTAGGTCAGATGAATACACTGCAGGTAATTCAAAAGCATTTTCTCGCAAGTGAAGGATGCATAGGAGCAAAACATATATTTGGAGATGTTTCTAAAAGCCAGCTCATGTCAAAAATGAGAAATGAATATTAGTGAGAACAGCTAGCTTTATTATCATTTGCATTTCACTGAAAGTAATAAATGCATTCCCGCTGCTAACATAGCATTCAGATCAATTATTTTATTTAAATTCGGATGGGACCTTACATGATAAACCTATGCAAAATTAATCCCATTAAAGCTCGGTGAGGCTGGTTGCTGCTGAATTTCATCCATGATGTTCTGGATGTATAGTTTTGGATCTGGTAGAAAAGAGGCTTCCTAATTTGTATGGGTATTCAATAGGAGGTCTAAAAAAAGCCATATTTTACGCAGGAGCCATCTGTGTCAAGCTAATGGGGCCATCCATTTCTCTGGGGAATATGCAGTTCAAGAACTCAGCAAACCGAGAGATGATTAATTAAATCATATCTTCCCAGTAATTGTAGTGAAGGCTTCTGTTTTTTCATGATCTGTTACAAAAATTTAGAATGGACACTCCTGTTCACCTTGATGTTTTCACTCACCGTAGTTTCCCCCAATTTTCTAGAGGATTTTTTTTGTCTCCTGTCAAAACCCAACAGATTTCAAAAGTGAGTGCCTGCAGAGTGCTATTGAAAGCACTTGCAAATCCTGAATTTTTGTTATCTACCAGACACTGTTCTACATTCACACATCTTTATCATTTTTTTTCTTCCCAAGGGCAGAGATGCTTGTGGGGGAGACATAGAATTTGGGGAAGATCTATAGCGTTAATATCATTTTTCTGAACTAGGTACGAAACATGGGATAATCTACCTCATTTTGATGAGCTCGTATGAGTTGGCAGTCAGTGTTCAGACATGTCTTTCAGAACTTGGAAATGTTTACTGGGGGTGTGGGTAGGAGTGTACCTCTCTTCCAGCTTTCTGAACGGCGAAATACCTGAATAAATGAACAACTGAACTGCTCTTAGCAGCTGTGACATTAATAACTGGTGGTATTGAAAGTTTATTTATTTAACATATTAGATCAGGGTTAGGGTTAGGGTTAGCCTGGGTCCCTCCAGTTCTGTTAAATTTTAGAAATGCCTGGTTGCATCTAAAAATCGCAGACTCTGCCAGGTTGGAATGAGGGATAAGCAAACTCAGGGCCTCCAAGCGGGTTGAATTTTTATTCCATGAATTCTAATCCACATGGCCTGCAAAGGAATATTGGAGAACCCCAAAACTCTGCATGACACCAAGCTGCTAGTTCTTAAGAAGTGACATAAACATTTTCCTACTCTTCTGTGCTTTCTACATCTCAGCCATGACTTTGAAATTCCAGCTGTTCTGATGGGGTGTTCTGGAGCTTCACTGTAGTGGAGCAGTCTATCAAGACATCTCTCTCAGCCCTGTGTTCAGTGCTTTCACCAAATCTCACAGCTCCTTGGTCTGTGTATCTTTAGTACAGAACAATCTCCTTCAACTCTGATTTCTTTTTATTTTCGGTGCAATTTCATTTTTTTTTTCCTTTTGGGAAAGCTTCTCCTTTCCCAAAGAACCAAGGATGTAAATTGCCAGTTTATCCTCCTAACAGCTTTGTGAGGTAGACAACTTTGACAGGTTGACAAGATACTCTCTGGTCAGCAAGAACTCACAATAAAAGAAAGATCCAAGTGCAGATCTGATTGAGCCCAAGAGCTGAATGTGCTTCTGCTAGTGTGGTAGCAGCTCCTTGAAAATAATGCCTTATCTAAAGAGGGACGGGGCCCAACTCACAGCAGAGCATGTGCTTTTGAATGCCAAAAACTCCCAGTTCCATTCCAGATAAGGAATGCCATTGCCTGTAGCAAAATCACTATCACACCCCTACAAAACTGAATTTGACACGAATCTGTGGTCTCGCTTCTATGCCCCAAAGGACCCTTTTAATCGGGACTAGAAACATGCTTGCTTTCTGACCTAAGGATTATCGCTCAAGGGTCAGCATCCTCCGCGATTGCAGTCTCAGATTCTCTCTGCGTCTCAGGCAAGCCTTTTTCAGAAAACCAGGAGCCCATGGATGAATCGATGCAACATGCTAACCCATGGTTTATTGATTGGTTTCAGGGGATACGTGGAGTCCCCTCAGTTTGCACAACACTTGGAGGTGCCAACGGACCCATCCCGCGTGTGTTAGCCTTGGGTGTCGGCTGAACCGGCCAAAAGACTAGTGACTTTCATGATCAGCGGCTTGACTCAATATAAGGAAGCTT